ACTGCGAGTGACGTCTGGGTCAGATCTACCGTCGGCCACAGGTCTGAGGTGGGTCGGTTCGGCGGGCTCGGTGCTGCCACCTGCCGGGGACCGTGGGGAGCCGGAGAAGGGTCGCGCGGTAGGTGGCGATGAGGGTCGCAAGGTAGGTGGCGCTGAGGGAGGGGCGCGTTCTATGAGTGAAGACGCCTCTCTTGTTTTCCGACCTGGCTCTCCGTCGGCTATATCGAATGTTTTGCGGCGTGAATCCTCCCAAGGCGGGGAGGCTGAGGGACGATGGGTAGAGAGACCTGGTGGTTCTCCCTCAGATTGTCCGCGTGGGGGTAGGGTCGCAGGGTCTGCTATGCAGGGAAGGGGTAGGGGAACTCGTAGGGGGGATGGGCAGTCGAGAGATATCAGGGAATATTTCTAGTGGTGGCTCAGCATTCAAGTCGGGCTGGGACCATGGACTTGGCTCAGCAGCGTGAGCTCTCCGATGTCCGAGCGGAGACTGTGGGTGGGGGTGGTTGTGCTCGATGTGAGTTTAGAGCTACTGTTACATGTCGAAAATGAGCTTGTCTTTCTGTTGTGTTAATGTACGGGGTATGCGTCAGACCGAAAAGAGAAGGGATGTCTTCAATTACCTCAGACGCCTCGACTGTGCTGTGTATGGGTTAGTGGACACACATCTGACGACTGAAATGGAGTCAATGGTCCGATCGGAGTGGGGAGGAGAAATATATATGAGTTGCGGAACAACTAACGCTAGAGGAGTGACTGTCTTAGTTCGAACTGGGGCACCTGTATTAGTTCATAGTTGGGAGGTGGATGATCACGGTAATTATGTGATAATGGATGTAGAATGTGATGGATACTTCCGAAGCAAGTTTGTTGTGATATATGGGCCAAATAGTGATTGTCCGATGTTTTTTGAAGACTTGTTTGAGAGAGTATTCAATGCTTCACAAATATGTCCTGTTATTCTCGTTGGAGACTGGAATTTCGTATTAGATCCGGAAAAAGATACGAAGTTTTACCGGAGCATTAGTAACACAAGGGCGAGAGAGGTTGTTCTGAATGCAATTGAAAACGAAAATCTGGTGGATGTATGGCGGGAACAGCATAGTAATAGCAGACAATTTACATGGAGAAGAACGAATCCTGTAAAATTCTCCAGATTAGATTTTTTCCTTGTGTCTGCTGATTTACTCGGTTTCATTTCTTCGGCAGATATTCTCAGTGGTTATAGAACTGATCACAGTATAGTCTCGTTGAAGTTCAAAAAGGCTTTTAGGGCTAAAAGGAAGATGTTTTGGAAATTTAACAATAGTTATATTGATGATGAAGCTTTTGTTGGGTTAATCAAGAGAGAAATACGAAAGATGAAGGATCAATATGTGATACCGGTATATTCTAGTGAAACTATAGGAAGTTGCGGGGATATTCAGTTCACTATCAGTGATCAGCTATTCTTTGAAACCATGATGTGCCACTTAAGGGGTATATGTGTACAGTATGGGAGCAGAAAGAAAAGAGCTTCGGAGAGGCAGGAAAATGAACTAATAGCTAGAATACAGCAGCTGGAAGACTTAGCCACGTCAGATGAAAACGTAGCGAAAGAGCTAGCAAAGTGTAAAGAGGAACTCCATCTCAGACGTAGGGATATAATGAAAGGCGTACTAGTAAGAGCAAGGGGTAGGTGGATTGAGGAAGGTGAGCGGCCAACTCGATACTTCTGCGGCATGGAGAAACGTCAGTATACAAAGAAGTACATAGGTTGCTTAGAAATAGGAGAAAAAACTATCAGGGACCAAGACGAAATCATGACATGTTTGTATGATCACTTTAAAGGTGTGTTTCATTTAAGTGAGAGGACAAAAACGCTAGATGATATAAAACACTTACTAGGTGATGCATTTCCTACGCTAAATAGCGAAGAAAAGTTGAGTTTAGAAGGCCCTCTGACTGTGCAGGAAGCCAGCCTAGCATTGGAAAAGCTGAATAATGATAAGTCTCCAGGGCCTGATGGTTTTTCAAAGCTTTTCTTTAAGACTTTCTGGAATGAACTGGGAAGTTTTTTAGTTCGGTCATTGAACGAAGGTTTTGTAAAAGGCTCTCTATCGGAAACACAAAGACAAGGTACGATTGTGCTTGTGCCAAAGACAGGGAAGCCTAAAGAAAAAATAGCAAACTGGAGGCCTATCTCGCTGTTGAATACTACGCAAAAGATTTTGTCAGCAGCGATAGCTAATCGCTTACGGAAGGTTATTAATAAGCTTATTTCGATGTGCCAAAAAGGTTTTATGAAAAACAGGTTCATAGGAGAATGCATCAGAACAATTTATGACATTGTTTGGGATGTAAAGTATAGGGAAAAAAGAAAAAAGGGCCTAATTGTGTTTGCTGATTTCAAAGGGGCCTTTGATTCCTTGAATCATGAGTTTCTCTACGAGGTGCTCAAGATGTTTAATTTTGGCGAAGACTTTACTAAATGGGTTAGGGTTATGTTGAGAGATGCATCTTCTTGCCTAGCACAAAATAAAACTACAACGGAGTTTTTCCCAATAAAGCAAGGTTGCAGACAGGGTGATTGTTGCTCGCCATTGCTCTTCATTCTGTGTGTTGAAGTGTTGAGCATAGCCATTCGAAACAATCCTCAAGTTGTAGGATATAAAGTCAACGAGTCTGATATGAAAATTCAGCAGTTCGCAGACGATTGTACCTTTTTACTAGATGGTACGCAAGCAAGCTTCGATAGTTGCATGACAATAATTACAGAGTTTAGCAAAGCGTCAGGTTTAACATTAAATGTGCAGAAAACACAGTTACTTTGGATTGGACAAGAAGCGATGCCGGCATATGTAGCTAGCTCAAACTTCGATATTATAAACGGTAACTTCAAGTATCTAGGCATAATTTTTACGCAGAATCTGTTAGATATGGGAGAGGTGAATTTTGAAGCAAAATCGATTGATGTCAGGAATCTTCTTAGAGGATGGATGAAACGGAGGTTAACGGTATATGGCAAACGGATAGTTCTTAAAAATCTAGCATTGTCAAAGCTGACCAATACATTAATGATGCTACCATGCCCTCCTGAGAGCTCCATTTATGGGTTGCAGAGAAGTTTTTTTGAGTTCGTGTGGAACAAGGGTCCTGATAAGATCAAGCGACGCTTTATGATGCGGGACTTTGATATCCCATGTTTGAAAACATATAATGATTCTTTGAAAATTTCCTGGATGAAAAGATATGTGTGTTCGGAAGATGCTTGGAAGTTTTTAGCAGAAATGCAGCTATGTAAAAATGATATTCTTTTCTCGTGTGGTGATGCAAGCTTCTCGAAAGCTGTAGGTTCGGTTTCAGATGGTATCAATCCGTTCTGGCGGGAAGTTTTTAGTAAATGGGATGCCTTCAAAAAGTGTTTTGAAGTCTTACCGGAAAATGTTAAGACGCAACCTTTGTTTTTGTCCTCTTTCTTCAAGCGTAATCACAAAGTTATGTGGAATGGCCGTCTATACGGAGCTGGTTGTACCAATGTAGGTGACATTTGGACGGATGAAAGAAGGTTTATGAATATTGCTGAAATAAACAACACTTATGGCTTGCGTCTCCAACAGCTTGAATTCGCGGGCATTGTTAGAGTAATAAGGACAGCATATACGGGGGAGTTGCCACCTCATGACATTGGACCTCAAATGCAGCCAGCGTTGGCAACTCTCTTAGGATGTAAGGGAGGATGTAGGATATACTATAAGACAATGCTACAGCATAAGTACTTTAAAACACGGGATGGTTTAAAATCACAAATAAAATGGAATAACGATCTACAGTGTCAGCTAGAATGGGACCTCATTTACAACAGATTTGCGAGCTGTACTAAAAATACTACTCTTAGATGGTTCCAGGATAGATTAGTACACAGAATATTAACGACAAACGTTTTCGTGTCAAAATTCACTGAAGAAAGTCCATTGTGTACATTCTGCAATGCAGATAGAGAGACGCTTCTGCATCTTTTTGCTGAGTGCGAACAGGTTCAATGTGTTTGGAGAGCAATGGTGAGCAGGGTCAGGGAGCGATTGCATTACAATGTTGTTCTAAGCAAACGTGCAATAATTGTTGGATTCGAGGAAAATGAGACATTTCATATGGCTGATGCTGCAGCTGCTATTCAGAGACTGTTTTTGCTAGGGAAATATTATATTTACAGAACAAAAGTGGCACAACATGGTATAGGAATAGCTGATATGTTTTCATTCTGTGATTTTATGACAAGGGCAGAGTTTGGTAACATGCGAGTGGGCATGGCCGATACAGAAAAGAAGAAGGTAGAGGTGCATCAAAAACTTTGTCTCATTAGCTACACATCTCACGAACAGGGACAACGAGCGTAATAACAGGACATATAGGGCGGGCGAGGTTCGGACGCTGAGCTGTCGCCAGATTTACACCCCGCCCGTTCCCATCCGTGACCGGCCCTGAGGTTTTACCTGGGACCGGTCCGCTGGCCGGGCGTGCGACAGGTGTCCGGTTCTGTGTACTGTGTGTACTGCTATGTGATTGTCAGTTATGTAAATAAATTTGAAAAAAAAACCATCATACCATGTGATCTGTGTCGAATGTTCACAATATCAGTGTTGTGTGGAAACACAAATTATCTTTGTTTCCCGATGCACGCGTATTTGGGTGAATCATTCCGCTTTTACCTAGTAGCGCTGTATTCACTCCTGACCCGCTGTGTGCGTCTACAGGCCACTTGGGTTGCTGACAACTTACCCCGTGTTTCAGTGTTCAAGCACACTATCTGCTCGGCTGTGTAGGTTATATCTCTCGCCCCGGTCGCTGACGACTCACCCCGTGTTTCAGTGTTTTAAGCACAAGCTCCCCCGCTGTGTAGGTCATATCTCTCGCCCTGGTCGCTGACGGCTCGCCCCGTGTTTCAGTGTTCAAGCACACTATCTGCTCGGCTGTGTAGGTTATGTCTCTCGCCCTGGTCGCTGACGACTCACCCCGTGTTTCAGTGTTCAAGCACGCGTTTTCCTCAGTCGAAGACTCTGACCTGGAGCCAGTGAGGATCGTTTACCTGATGACTCTGAACGGTCGGGACACGCGGCAGGCCATCCGACTGCTGAAAATGATCTACAATACAAACAACTACTACTTCATACATATCGACTCGGTAAGGAAACGAGTAATCTACTTACTACTTTATACACATCGACTCGGTAGGGAAGGGGTGATATAACATACCATAAACTACTACTTCATGCACATCAACTCGGTAAGGAAACTCGCTATCATTGTAGAGCGTGCTAATTTCTAATTAATACACACCGGCTTTACTACAGCCGGTCATGCGCATTCCAACTATCAATCCTGCTCCATCGGTTGTATCCCCATTCCCTGCCCTTCACAGTGCCCGATATTCTGATATCTATAGTACAGGCATTGGTAATTGTTGTCTGCGGCATCTCAAACATGAGCTTTGTCAGTTCTTTGGTGTAACGATACGCACCGCTCCTAAACACCATTTTATTTCGCGTGTTTACCCGTGGTATGTGCTTCATTAGATGCGGAATGCTTATTTGTTGGCGTTCTGCCTCGCTAAGCAACGTGTGACGTAAAGCTCCGTTACAGCCATAGCACCAAACCTGTAACGTGACGAGTAACTAGCTAACTAGCCTAACTAGCCTGCAACTAGCCTGTAATTGCCGTGCCATTTGCGGAAAGCTTGTGTCAATGCATATGTACATGCATGCATATTGCATATTGCATACATCGCCAAACATGGGTTATGTAAGGAATGCTCGGCCCCATTCAAAGGGTCCATTCTTGGCAATCGTTGGATATAAATTGGCAAACATCCGTGGAGTGTTTGTGTTGACCTGGTTTGCCGGAACTTGGAGCTGCAACTGAATGCTCTTTGTCCCGTTGCATTATTTGGTATGTTTGACGGAATTATGTGGAGTTGAATTCCTGCTACCATTGAGATGTATTGGGTTTGCGTGCCTTGTTTCGTAAGGTGTGGTACCCTTTCCACTACTTTTCTCGCAGTCAATAAAACTTAATTAAAGTAAGTGGTATTACCGCTAGATGTAACGTATTTTAAGGGAAAGACGAATGGTTTGTGATGTGTTTAAGGTCTTTTATGCGTGCCAATGACAAAACTTGGACATGCTTTGTGTTCTTGCCGCCGCAACGCAACAGCTCAGGTCGTCGTTGAACATTATGTGCTGTAGTCACCAAGTAGGGTAGGGTGGGGTAATTTGAACAATTGAACATGTGGGGCAATTTGAACATAGTGTGAATAACACAAAATTACGGAAAATCCATAAGTGGCATGACAATAAGACCAATGAAAGGGCTATATAACTAAAATAACTAAAAGGGCTATCATATGAACGGGGTTTAAAGTTTCAGGGAATGAAGATGTTGACGCACAGTGTAAAAAATCAATTTCGCAAGGATAAACGCCTAACAACACGTCATTGCAACTTCATTGCAGCGCAAAATCTTGCATTGCTAGAGCCTGATACGCAACGGCTGTTGTTGTACAACGACCTAATCAGTGCCTTCAGTCCAAGAAATTTGCTTTTGAACCCTGTTTTTAAAAATGGCAAAATAACTTTTAGCGTGGGGTAATTTGAACATAGTGTGAGAATTTCAATGGAGACAGGGATAGCTCCGAAAAACAACGCTCCCAGTTTTTTTTCTAACCAATATTTTCGACCCAAAGCAGTAGCAGATAAGTGATGCCAGTTTTAGAAAATTTACGTCTAATATCCGTCTAATGTCCGGCATTTTCGTTAATTTTCCGTCCAAAAATGTTAAAGTCAACTATTTGTCCAAATATGTCCGAAAATTATGCAGCTATCAACACTCAAAACCGTCATTTATATTGCTTATCATGTCATTTTACCAGCCGAAAAGTGTTTATTATATTGAGAGCTTAACCCATATATGCATAGACGTACATAAATGTACGTCAATTTGAGGTGACCAATGTGTGCCATCTTTATAGAAATAGAGCTAATGAGCCATCAAACGCGGTCGTTCTAAATCATTTACATTGTTAGCCGTCAGGTGAATACCAAAAAACACGGTTCCAATGCATTCAGTGTTGAGTTTGAGACATTCGGTTTGTTGATGCCGCAACGGGAAGATTTTCACCCGTTCAGACGCTCGACCCAGGGTGAGCCAAGTGTTCTTAATTATAGTTAAGTGCTTTTCCCGGATTAGCTTTCGTTGCCAGCAATCTGCTCAAGCATGACCCTAACTTCATGAGTGGTGTCATTATAATGCTAATTTTGCTTACCAAGCGAATCCAAAAATAGTACGTTTCACAAAAACGCACGTACAATAATGTACGTCTATGCATATCCGTTACATTTTGTTTCCCAAACATCAAACACGTTTATGCTTTGGTTTGATGGCAAATGTGGGCCTAAACGATGTTCTGGATCAGGGCTGCGGGAGTCGATGGATTTTCAGTGACTCCGACTCCGACTCCGACTCCGACTCCGACTCCGGGTAGAACTATCGACTCCGACCGACTCCAACTCCGACTCCCGACTCAGCAGCCCTGCCAGGTCAGCGGAGTCGATGGGTTTGTCGGTGATTCTGACTCCGACTCCGGCTCCGGTTTCCAAAATCGACTCCGACTCCGACTCCGGTCAGAATTGTCGACTCCGACCGACTTCGACTCCGACTCCGACTCCGCAGCCCTGTTCTGGATGGCATCGAGGAGCGAAGTCGAGTCGCCGATGTCACGGTCGTCGTCCTAGAGCCGCCGGAAGTTCGCGTCGACACAAACGAAGACCCTAGCGACGAAGAGAATGCTGACCCAGCCCGCCTGACGTAACTAGTCTGAGCCGTAACAGACGTAACTGAGCCGTAAAGACGTAACTGAGCCCGTAACTGGTCGCACCCACCGGCTCAACCGGTTCGGGATGATTATGGATGTATGTCACTTCCAAAGCAGCACCAAGCTTGACCCTTATGATCGGTTTTGCAGCAGAGATCCAGAAGCGCCAGTTCCATGGCACGGGTACCATGTGAGAGAATCGCCTTCTGAAGGCGAACAAGTTCACCGACATCAACGCCTTCAAGAAGAAGTCCAATCAGACCATCGAAGCATTTACGACTGCCAACAACGGCTGCAGTGCGGCTGTTATCCGCTGGATGGACGTGGTCGAGGATCACGAGTTCCAAGAGGCCATCATGCCGTCACTGGGGAAGGAAGAGCCGGCCGACGTCCCTGGACAGACGCACCTCTCCGAAGTCGAGGGCGACCAGTCGCTCTGCTCCGTTGACCATGCCGGCGACTTTACGTCCGGCTGATGGCCGTCTTTAGTCATTACAGCGGGGCCACGCGCTCGGGACAGTGTCTGACGTGTATATACAGTGTGGGACGGGACAGGTGGTGCCATTACGACGACCAACGCGTCAGCTGCGTGGACGAGGCAGACATCCTGGGCGAAGGCCCCCAGCGGAACAGCTACATCTTCTGTCTCCTCAAGAAGCTCTGCAGTCAGGTAGTCAGCATGGAGCGCGCCGGGCGACGGACTGTGACTGCCACAGGGGAGCACAGGGTCACCGCGTCGGTGGTCAGCAGCAGAACGCCTCCTGATCGCCATTGACAACGTGCTCTTTTTATAGATCTATTATGTTGACTATTATGTACATAAGACAAGTTTTCAATAGACGGTAAAAGTTGACATAATTGAGTTGTGTTTTGCAAATTTCCTTATTTTCATCATACATGATCTACATTGTATTTCCTAATTCAACGTATGAATTGTAACCACCATTTCCAAGGGTCTCTAATGCAACACAAAATATCATACATCATATTTGACCATACAACACAAGTTATTCCCCTCGCCCAGGTTAACGATGACATGACGTCACCCTGCCCCTCCACAACCCCATCCCCACCCCAACCCATCCCTCATACATCGCTTCTGAAGTACGAAAGACGTTAGCATTGTATTAGGGATATCGGATGTATTATTTTAGGACGGCGGTGGCAGACGTCACAATTGTCTTGTTGACACCTGGCATAGACGTACATTTTTGTACGTCACTTTGAACGAGCATATCAGGCAAGCACTAAATGTAAAAACAAAACAGTTGATGTCAGCAGCTTAGTAACATGTTGTTTAACAATGCTAGAAAGTTTCATACAAATACTCGACAAAAAATTAATTCATGCATATATGGGTCAACAAGCTTTCCATTCGCCAATCAATGCTACGCACGATTACTTGATAAAAATGCTTAAGTGTGGCAGGCCATCGTCCAATGTTGTCCAGACTACTATACCCTTGTGCGATCAATTCCGAATTGGACATTATAAAGAATCGGAACTTCGAATGTCCAGGTTCCGATTGGCACCACTATATCAGATGAAGTAAGGTTTGGTAGAGTTTTTATCGAACGGAGATGATAGACGTTCTGTTAATTGGAGAGAGGCGAATTCTGTCAACTGACCGGTGTGCAGTGTGCAGATATTGATACTCTGCAACTGCTATTTTTGTTGTTGTGTTGATTTTTCAAATGAAGGTATGTTTAGAATTGTTCTGCCTATTTGTTTATGGGTCAAGCAACATCGGTGTTGGCGAGGCTATCGTTTTTATGGCAGGTAAAGGCAGTATGTTCAAATTACCCCACAGTGGGACAATTTGAACACACCGTGACTTGGTGGATAAGTGATGCTATGCTATTCAAGTTATGCTCGGCCCGTCCAAAAATGAGGCTTGCATGGTAAAAGCAAGTGACACATGCGCTACTGAAACAGTTTTCTTCATCCAGGGTTGAGCTGGAATTTGGTACAACGGAGAAGACGTAAAAATATGTTCAAATTACCCCACACTACCCTATTCAATTTACCCGCTCTGACGTCAATTATAACCCCTCTCCCCTCCCTCTGCAGCGCCAGGACCACATGTACCGCACTCTGCTGTCGCTGGAGACCCAGTTCACCAACGTGCGCCTGTCGCGGTGGCGGCGGGCGACCATCTGGGGCGGCGCCTCGCTGCTCGATATGCTGCTCCACTGTATGACCGAGCTGCTGACCCTCGACTGGCAGTGGGACTACGTGCTCAACCTCAGCGAGAGCGACATGCCCGTCAAGTGAGTACTGATTTATGTAGCGAGACACTAGATGGAGATTGTCAACTGCAGTTCATTATTTTTGACGATGCCTGGTCGCTTCAAGCGTATTGGTAGATACCACAAAAGCGAATTGTAAGAATAATTAGTCGGCGTGATGGTATTTTGGGAGGGATCGTGGCCGGGATAGTTGTATATCTAATAAGGCTTGCAGATGGGCGTGGAGCTTGTTGAAGCTGTGAGCCAGACATCAGAATCGTCATATGGACGCAGATAGGGAACGTGTTTGGACAAAAGTCAGTGTGTCAGATGCAAAATTGAGATTGAATCCTAGCAAGCGTAGGTTGAAGATGAGCCTGGAGCTGTCAAGCTGCCATTTGCCGTCAGCGCGCAAGCAGAACGCACCACACCTGATTTTCAACTCCGCTCATTTACTATGATATCCGATTATGCGACGCAGGGTGCTTTGTGCAGCCTGTGCGACCTGCCCCAGCTCACAACTGCTGGCAAAGCACTCTGCCGCTGCGCTGTGGACTTCACAAGGTTCTCTATGTAATTGAATTTTATTGCGGGATGGGGTAACTTTGAACGGCTTTGAACATCCGTAGATCATCGCTCGCCAGATTGTCATGTTGTTTGATCAAGATGCGTCTTTAAAAAATACGCGAGCTTAGGCTAATCTTCTTACTTAATCAGTGTATTTCAAATATCAGCTAGCAAAAATCGCCCACATAAGGAGCATCGTAAAAGTGACTGTACTCTTCTTAAAAGTGATCTCCCACAACCCTCCGCTGTTTCCGACAGCGTTTCCAACCTGCGCTGTTCCCAAGCTCGCCTGTGCCACCGCGGCCCGGGTACAGTCGATCCCGGTATCTGCACATTTATGGCCGGGGCGGACGTGGTTTTATGGTCCCCGTCTTAACTGTAGTGCCCCCATAACGCTGAGGTGCTTCAAACAGACCGGACGCAGGGAGAGTGGCAAAACGACGAGGGGGGGGGAGGTGGCAGCTTACATAGATAACACTTGTGTCTTTCGGTGAAGGAGGATGGATTGAGGAGCCCCGCGGACCCCCGCTTGGTGTCGCGATGCGAATATGGTTTAGTTGATATTTGGTTAAGTTGGGACGACAAACTATTCGTGCTAAAGGTCATGAAGCGGTTTTAGAAATAGTGACGGAGACTCTTCAAAACGCACTGATTCCGAACTACTTTAACACGCGCACCGACGGGGGGGGCGGATATCCGCTCCCCCCCCCCCCCCCCTGAGGTTTTTCGCGAATAGCGGGAAAACCGCGTAGCGCCGCGAAATTTGGTGTACGACTATTCTCTCATCAATTTTACACATGGTGTGCAAGTTTAAACCTCGTACCTTTTAAGGTCAGGTCACCAGGTCACTTTGAATGACCCAACCTCAAGTCACCGTTTTTTGCAACTTTGTCACCGTGCCAGAGCTACAGTAGATGTCGGAGGTCTTTGAAAGTCGCAGGATGTTATAAGGTCATTAGTAGCTACAATTTGTATATCTCGGAATTTTGATATCGGTGACCTAAGGTCAGGTCAATTTCTCGACCTCCCCATTATAAGTCAACGGGGGGGGGGGGGGGGGGAAATCAACTCCCTGTTTTTACCACTAAAACGGGTCGGAATGGACCCATATACCATACATGACTTCATATACGATCAACCTTCACTACCTTGAGGTCTGTTTTGCTGTTGGGCAGCTGTAAGGTCATATGACGCCATCAAAGGTCACCAAAGGTTTTTTTTGCTAATAACTCCGTACAGGAACAAGATACAGCCGCGCGGATGGTCTCATTGTGTTCAGCTCGTCAAGACGCATCGATTGATATACATAATGACCTCGAGGTCACGTGACCTGAGGTCAACCTTTGACCTTGACCTTTCGAGGTCAACATATATATCATTCGATGCGGATTGACGAGAGGATCACGGTGATGCCCTTAGTTTGCTCCTATCTTGACTAATTCGAAAGTTATTCGAGAAAAACTATCTCCATATCTAGCGCCGCCATTTTGACTTTTTTGACCCCTGTGACGTCATCTTTGACCTGACCTGAAAATGACCTTTGTAAAAATTGTAGACCTTGTCCGTGCGTATCCCATTCCGTTTACAGCGGCGTATTTAGAAAATCGCGAAGGGGGGGGGGGGCCAAGGGTTTGGAGGGCGCCACCTCACCCAAGGAGGGCGCCATACGGTCGCGAGATAAAAAATCGCTCAGTGGGGGTTGGGGGGTTGGGAGGCGTTTTTTACCATGCCACCAGTTTTTTTTTTGCGTAACCTCGTATAGGTCGTGCTGCATTGATTTTGCATCGTGTGTATTCTTTATACTCCAGGTCACAAAAGGTCAAGTGTTCTTGAAATGCTGCGCCGAAGGCGCGCGAAATTTTTGAAAACAACCTTTTCCTCCGCTTTTTAGGCACGCCTTTTATACGATCACTGTTCAAAGCTCCTCTCGCTCTTTTACCAAATTTGAAGGTGTAAAAAATACCTAAGGTTTGGTCGGGCCGCTGCCACACAAACTGTACAGAAAGCTTGGCTCATGGGTGTCGATGTATAAAAGTTTATTGGCGGTGGCATATCTACGCACCAGATCACCGTATCGGATTGATACCGGAGCGCGAGATGCGTAAACATCATCCAAATTACCTCAGACCAGCCTTCATAGCCTTCTCACAGATGCATACAGTGTACCCACATAACCAGTTTCAATCACCGAAACTTCAGATGCCTGCTGTTGCGCCCGAACCTGTTGACAATACTTAATCGTAATCCATATAGATGCCATGATGCACGTAAAGTAGGATCAATCCGTTAAGACCAAAGACGTGTTTTATGCATCGTAGAGCGTAGATAGTTTTGGTAGGTATAGATACTTCATTCATTGTGCTGAATGCACGTTCATTTGTGGCAGTTTTCACAGGCAAGACATCAACTATGTGCAATAGAACGACTAAGTTGAAAAACATGCCAAAGGAGTAAATAAATGATAGGAGGGCAGCGATCAACGGATGTTGCCAATAGGTAGAAGGGCTGCGATCCACAGGAGGGCACTAATAGGTAGAAGAGCCCCGATCAACATCCCGAGTTTCGACAGTAGGGCACCGATAGGTAGGAAGTTGGCGAGCAGCAGGAGGGCGCCAATGGATAGAAGGGCAGCGATCAACAGGAGGGCACCAATAGGTAGGAGGGCGCCGATCAACAATCAACAGGAGGGCGCCACCAGGTAAGAGGGTGGCGAGGAACAGGAGAGCACCAATAGGAGGGTGGCGATCAACAAGAGGTCGCCAATAGGTGGGAGGGCGGTCATCAACTGGAAGTCGCCAATGAGCGGAAGGGTGACGATTAAAATGGGGGTGGCAATGGTGAGGAGGGCGCCTTTGCTCAAGAGGATGACACGAACAGGAGGGCGTCTGTGCGGAGGGCGCTGGTCAACAGGAAGGTGCCAGTGGATAGGAGGGCGGTGATCAACAGGAGGGTGCCAGTGGTTAGGAAGGCGGCGATCTACACGAGGGCGCCAATAGGAGAAGGGCCCCGATTAACATTCAACAGGAAGGACTAGGGAACCAATAGGTAGGAGGGCGGCACTGAACAAGAGGGTGCCAAAAGGGAGAAAGGCGGCCTTCAAAATCTCACATGAGGGCTCAATAGGTAGGAGAGCGCCAATAATTATGAGGACGCCGATCAGCAGAAGGGCGGCAATGTGTAGCAGGGTGGCGACCTACAGGAGGGCGCCTTCGGGTGAGAGGGCGCTTATTTACAGGACAGCGGCTTACATAGGCGACCACCGTTACGCTTAGAGAGCTACAGCCTACAAATGTGGTTGGAGGGCGCCCGAGGGAGCCCTCCAACCGTATTTGGAGGGCGTATTTGGAATGGGCGTCCTCCGAGGGCGCCCTCCATCCGTATTTTCCCTGTAAACACATTCGCGATTGGAGGGCGCCCTCCAGTCGCGATTGTTTTTCGATTCGATTATATCACAATTGCATTTGCGATTGGAGGGCGCCTTCGGCGCCCTCCAATCGCAAAGGGCGCCTTCGGCGCCCAAGGGGGGGGCATGGCCCAGTGGCCCCCCCCCTGCCTACGCCCCTGTCCGTTTACCGCTTGTCGCTATCTTGCTTCGTTCTCGAGATCTCAGGGGGGGGGGGGGCGGTCATCCGCCCCCCCCCCCCCGTCGGTACGAAGTTGGCACAGACCCCCGTCGGTGCGCGGGTTAAGTTCGATTACGTTCAACCTTTTTGTGTGAGGTGGGAGCTGCAACATGATGCATTCAGTTCCTTTTTCAGAATATTTTATAGGCTGCTTGGGAGTTTGTTAATTTTCACGAGTTTCATTTGCACAGCCAATTACCAAACTCGTCACTCGATGCCTGATATTGAGCATTTTCCTTGCTTGTCCGAAACCAAGCGAACGGTGCGAACTGTCTGTGAACTTTTTCGCGCTACCCTCTTACCAGACTGAAACACCTGATTCTCAGGAAATGCTCGATGGTGCATGGTTCACATTTATCTTTCTCTTCCAGGCGGATGGAGCGACTGACAGAGTTCCTGACGCGGAACAAAGGCAAGAACTTTTTGAAGTCACACGGACAGTCAATTCCCAGTTTTATCATGAAACAGGTGAGATAGCTGTGACATTTCATAGTTCTGCGATGATGTTTGGGCGATTGGGTGACCCCACAGTGATTTGATATGGTTCATGTCTTGATCTATTCTAAACCATATGCATGTGCATGTGCACAGCTGTGCATGTCGACATTGCTTTAGCTAAGTGACTTGTATGCTGTTGACTGTTGAGTGTTGAAATTTAACAGCAAGACGTTGTTATCTGTATTAAGCCTGACGACTCGACTGTTTTGCCTAAATTGTTATATCGTTACAATGCTGTTTGTGCATTGACCTACGTTACATCGCCTTATCTTTATTTCTGAACGCTGCTTATTTTTCGGAGTTTGTAAGAACTCTGTTTAAGACTGTGGCATTTGGGTACCGGATCTGGGGGATAACCCACAAATGCACTAAGTTTGACGGCATCATTTTCGCATCAGCACTGAAAGCTTTGGACTACATTTAGCGCTCATCGATGAAGTCTGGGCATAACTTTACCTGAAGCTGACAACTAGCTTGTATGCCGGTGGGTAGACAGCTAACTTGGGCCTCGGTTGTCTCGCCTTCGCTTCTTGTATCCGCGTTCATTGACCGTTGAGTGTGTTACTGTGTCATTACGTAGTTGTGTGATGTTGATTCTTCGGTTTTCTAGGCTGATGTATGGTCCCTGTCTGTGTTTTCCAGGGTCTGAATCACTCGTTTTACGAATGTGACCACCACCTCTGGCGGCTCGGCGGACGGAAGTTGCCGCGGGGCATTGCCATTGGTGAGCTGCGATACAGGAGCTAGGGGACGAGGGATGGGAGGGGAAGCCTAAGAGCTCGCTGGGAAACCGCAGGAGATGAAGCATGGAATATGAAAGGAGACGGATCCCACTCTCAGACAATCACGGTGAAAGTGATTAATTTGTATGTCCCGCATATATTCAAACCTATCAATTTCAAGCAGACGAGAAAATGTCACGATACCTATACACATGCGTGAATCTTTTGCACCCTTGCTTTCAGACGGCGGTAGCGACTGGGTGTGTCTGTACCGCGACTTTGTCCAGTATGTGACGGGCATGCAGGACGACCTGCTGACCGGCCTGAGGACCTTCTTCAACCACTCCCTGCTGCCTGCCGAGGTGAGAGTGGCCACCCTCCGCGGGCTGGGCGTCGGACGGCTTCGGGCTTGCGGAGTAGAGAAAGAGTTGTTTACTAGATTATGTTGCAAGTGTTGTGATAGATTGCCGACAGATCTTGACAGTGTCGTTGTTCAAGCCCTGGTCTATGTGTTTTGGAAGCGTAGAGGTGTTTTTGATGAGTCTCCCTTGATATGGGTGCTTTCAAGGCCGTTTGAATGAGTAAATAGCGATGATTTTTGCACGAAGCACACAGTACTATAATTTAGTAGCCTGAAGGCTGATGTTTCACTTAGCGCGTGCGTCGTATCGAGTTTTGGGAGCGCGTTGACCAAGCCCGGCTAGCTCAGTCGGTAGAGCATGGGACTCTTAATCCCAGGGTCGTGGGTTCGAGCCCCACGTTGGGCGATGCTTTTCAGTTTTTGGGAAGTGACCCTTCTCCGGTCGGATGCTCAGCTCTTCCATGCAGTATTTTCTCATCACTTCTTAATCAAACTGTCTCTTCCAACTATCGTTTTGACCCGTTCTGTGCAAGTCATTCCCGAACATTCTACTTATGGTCTGATGTGGTTCACCGTCCCATTTCCACAGTCGTTTTTCCATATCGCGCTGCGTAACTCGGAGTTTTGCCACACTCTGGTGGACAACAACTTGCATCTGACCAACTGGCGGCGCAAGCACGGCTGCCACTGCCAGCACAAGTACGCCGTTGACTGGTGCGGCTGCTCGCCCAACGACTTCCGCCCCACGGACATGGATAGGATACAGGTAACAAAGAACGCGCGTCGCGCTGAGGTTTTGTTCAGTCTGTATCAGGTGTGTAGGAGGTTCTAACGTTTTTTTTGCCTGTTGTCCTGTCGGCGCGCGGTATGATAGTTTGTAAGCCTTCTGATGATCACCGAGTATCCAGTCAGCTAGCGCGCTTCCTTCCAATAAGACTGTGCTGAGTGCCTACCCGCATCCCCCTCCTCCAAACTTAAGGCCGCCCCACACTGGAACTCGCATGCGCGTTGCGGGTTTTTGGGTTTTTGGGGTTTCTTCAAAATTAAATAATCCAATCTATGCTGGGTGACCCACACTACCATCTAACAAGCGAGTCTGCATGTTTTTAGTTTGTAAACTACCTTGCATCGCATTCCAAAAGTTGATTTTCAGTCAACTTTCGATTTTCCTCGCTGCGAGGTCTGCGAGTTCTGCGAGGCTTGCGAGTTTTTCTTTGGAGTCTAATTTTGGTTTGTTGTGCTGGTATTGCGACAATATGTAATTTTCTGAAGGTATACCGGTTTCACTGCATTCATGGAGTCACCATAAGGGAACAGTGTGACCATAAGGGAAGGGAACACTCTAGAATTAGTATTATGCCCGCAAACTCAAAACCCGCAAGCTCGCAACCCGCATGCGAGATCCAGTGTGGGGCGGCCTCAAGTTGACAGAGGCGCGAGCCATCTCAGTTCTGCTGGAAAAAGACGTGGCTACTTCAGTCGTTCGCCTCAGCCCGCTCGATAACGGTATATCGAGCGTTCTATATAGATGTCCGTGATACTTCTTATTCCAAGCTGGATCGCTAAACACTCGCAACCCGGCGTTACGTGAGGCGTGCGAGGCAGTCTTCACTATCAGGTCTTGCTAGGGCTTCCGTTCTCGCGTCGAGGCTGTCTTTGCCGACAATGGCGGCTAAACCGAGTAGACGGCTGGTGTAGGGATTGGACTTGTTGTTCGTAGTCACTGTTTCACCTGTCGCTGAAGATCTGCGAGCTAGTCGCTTTTTATGCTGGGCTGTGGGCGCAGGTAATGAATTGGCACTTTGTTTTTTTTTTCGGTCAGATATCTTCTATTGCCCAGGTTTCATTAAACCGTTGGAATTTGGTCGCTTTTATAGTTTCGCCCACTTGTTTGCTCGTCTAGTCTGCTAGTAAGTTTGGCGAGCTCGGATACAAAAACATCCTGCTCACCGAGTACCACCGAGGGTTAGTGTTCAATACCGCGCGCCTCGGCGTTGTTTTCCGTTGTTTTCTGTTTTCTGAGAAGTAATCCAAGCACCAGCTCAAGTTGTTTGCTTGGCTACGTTTTCTATATCTGTCCGTTGTTCGTTGAAAGGAAGTAGTTCGAGGACGATTGAGCAATGGGTTTTGAATAACGGCAGCCAGACTGAGCATAAATTGATAGAATTATCGACGTGATTTACATATAACAAGAAAGTCGTTTCATCCAAGCTCATTTCAAGCTCGTTTGGACTATCTTTTATCTTTATCCCAGGTGTTTAATCCTCCGTCAGCAGATCCACGTCCCTGACAGTGTCGCTGCCACACTGTCACTGTTACGTTCACGTTGTCACTGTCATAGCACTGCCCCTCTCGCACTGTCACTTCCACACTGTCATTTTCACCGCCATTCCCACATAAACTCACTCATCACTGTCAATCTCATTTTCACTGCCACCGCCGTCAGGGATGACGCCCACTTTGAACACCAACACAGCCATCAGCACACTGAAAGAACGCTATACCCGACCACCCACGCGTCCGGCGAGCGACTGCCGTGTCCTGGGCAGCACGCAGCTCGTCTATCGTCTCATTTTCCACACTCCGCTCCCCTCCCCTCCCGTCCCTTCCCCTCCCCTCGGGCCGTGTGCGCTGTTGTCTGGAGTCATTCGATCTCCGGCTGATCGTGTTACGCGAGGAGGTGTAATTTCACTAGCGCCTGTGACTCTGTGAGCTGACAAACAAGCTCTGGACCTGCAGCTCCGGACCGTCGCCAGGAATGGTGTTACGGATTACGCACATGGTTTGGGATTTGGTTTTCAAGCCGGTGATTCGATGTGCGGTAACAAACGTTGCTCTATTGGAACTTTCATCAATCATGATTTATGCAGTGAAAGACAGTTTTAATCTAATCCCCTGTGCCTCAAACATTTTTAGCTATCAGCTCTGTGTGTCAGATGTCTCGTAGGGAACTGAAAATTTGTGACATTGTGTTATCAACAGTGTCATGCATAGTGCGCCATCTTATTTCAGCTCCTCCTCCCCTTCTTCTACCCGCCTCCCTCACTCTCCCCTCTCCCCTACAGCGGACCGAGTCTCGTGACCTGTTCTTCGCGCGCAAGTTCGAGTCCATCATCAGCCACGAGGCGGTGACCATGGTGGATAAGTGGGTGCACGGCCCGCTGCCGGCCGACCTGACCTCTCTACACCGTCACTGGGTGTGTCAGTATCACCGGGATGACCTGTCGGCTGCCGATGACGCGGCACTGACGTTCTACAGGTTAGACGGTAGTGGGAGGGATTGTGGTGTGGAGGTTTGGGTTGATGAAAGGATCAAATCAGTGGTAGGAATGCGATAATTAACACAAGGTGCAGTCGGGGAGTTGATGACGAGGGGTCATGTGTTGAAGGCTATCGGTGCCCGTCCACAACAAATCCCCCCCACCCCACCCACCCCACCCAGCAGAGGTGATCTGCTCTCCAGACCGGCCCAGGCAGGCACCGGCCACACCCACCAGCACGCAGGGCTGCGGAGCCGATGGATTTTCAGTGACTCCGACTCCATCTTAACAAGACTGACATGTGCCAATGGATGTACAGTGTACACTGTACAGTGCGCACTGCCTATGTTTCTTGTCAATGTGTTCAGAGTGCATGTGTTATTTTCGCTCAGGACAGATCATAAGTGCAGATGTGCGAAGATAGGCGCCCGGCGCGCCGCTACCTCCACTAAATCAGACTTGTTTTCTGTGACATCCGTCTGACTGTTAACCCGCGCCCCGTAGGGGGGGGGGCCGAAACGCCCCCCCCCCCCCTGTCCTTTTCGGTCGATATCTCCTAAACGGCTGGAGATATCGCCACCAAACTTTCAGGACCCCTCCGGGCATCAATTTTACACATTGTGACCAAAAATTTTTCCAGAGGCTATGATAGGTTGGCCACAAATGACGTCAGAGTGACGTCATGTTCTGTCATTTTCGACCGAAAAAAGACCTTCGCGAGAAGACCTGTCAGGACTACAGCTTTGAAGATACAGAAAAATGATCAAGACATAAAAGGTGTAGAATTGACAGGGCTACAAAACTGCTATCTCGAATTTTTGAAATTTTTGAGTTTTGACCCCCAAAAATCAAAAAAACATTTTTTTGGATATATTCGCCAAAAAATCCAAAAAGTTTTTTGAGTTTCGAAAAAAATCGGAATATATGTGATAGTGCCTACCGTCTTCTATCCACATACCAAAGTTCAGATCGATACCTCGTTTTTTGGCCAAGTTATAGCGAAAAACTGTTCAAAAATGATGACGTCAAATTTTCAAACTCAATTTTTGGCAATTCTAGAACTCGTAGAGCAAAACGAAGACCACCATTAGACTCCCCGTGACGAGCTGCATCGAATCGATACCCATTTTATGCAAAAATATCAACTTTGAAATTTGACCTAATTTGACCTGACCTTGACCTGACCTTCACCAAAACGTGACCTAGGCTGGCCCCAAAGGCTGCCTAACCCACATAATCGCATTTGTCATGTAAAATGGACCATAAAACATGTATCACACGACACATTCATATTGTGACCCCCGGTGACCTGACCTCGCTGTGACCTGACCTGGTATCAGTGACCTCAGATAGCAAAGTATGTGTTTGACGAACAATGTAATATCGATGGTTTTCAATAAATTACCAATTTACTCGCTTTCACAGCACATTTCTTGAATTGCCTGTGAACGGTGAAAATCTGACCTTTGACCTGACCTGTGACGTCATCGGTTTGACCTAGGTCAATGAAATTTGGTCACAAGGTAGTTCCCGGGTGGGGCTATCGAACGCCGTTTGAATTTTGAAAATCGGCCGGTAACTTTCCGAGATCTTAGGGGGGGGGCCGAAACGGCCCCCCCCTACGGGTGGTAGGGTCCGCCGGTAGCCCTACGGGGCGCGGGTTAACGGACCCTCCCTGTGAACACTGCCTGGGATATGAGAAGCAGCATCAGTGACCCTCCATGGCCCCCTTCACCGTATTTCACCATGTCCAGGAGTGTGGCGAGACTGTCCGCCCAGCGACTCCGGGTTGGCGGCAGCAGATGTGACCTACAAGTGGGGGACGTCGTTGCCGCCTTCGTCCACAAGAAGGACGACAACTTCAAGGTAGGGACGGCGGGCTGACCGGCGCCATCGGGTGTTAGGTCTTGTGGAGGTGCGAGAACTTGATGACATTGGCATCAGGCAGCTAAAATATCCCACAACGCCTTGACCTTGCCATTCTTATTGCCTAAGAATTAGCATCTTCTGCGATCTTTCTGTGTGAAGGTTATGATCTTGACATTTTTATTACGTAAAGAATTCATCATCTCCTGCGACCTTTGTGTGAGAAGGACAGACAGCAGCGTCGCTGATCCCCCCGCGACATTGTGGTATTTCTGGATGTGACACGTTGTGTCTCGAGCCTGAAACTTTGTGAAGGTCAAAGTGTGCCATTCTAGTCCTGAGCCGGCGTTGTGCATACTGCTAACTTGTGCGAACTTCTCTTCGAGTGTGACATACGCTTCTAGCCGAGTGAAGCATCCGTATGAAAAGTTAGTCTGTCATCGAACTAAACGTTTCAACTCCGAGCTCCGTTCGTCTGAAATATCCGCTATTTATAGCCTATAGCTCTCAAATAGCGCGATATCTGAATGCTGGCAGCACCTCTCACCACCCCGTTTTTCCTCATTCCACAGGGCACCGTGGTTCAGTTTGAGTTGCAGACCACCGACGGGCCGCTGGTTTTGGAGGCCCTGGTCAGTCCGCTGCCCACGCCGATTAAAAGACTCAAGAAGGGCAGTGCCGAGGATAGATTAACGGTAAGACCCGTTGCGAGGCTATTTTTCGGTTAGATTAATTATAACCTTTCGCGTGTTTTATTATTAAGATATATTTCACTTCGAAGGAACATGTAGTGTAGCCACTATATATACAATTTTATTTTAGAATGCGATAACCGGTGTTAAATTATTGGCTTTGTGTATGGCTGTCGTTTGGAAGCACAACTTTATACGGCTTGCCTCTGATATACTGCCTTGGGCAATAGTATGTGGATGTGATAGATAAATTATGTAAATGTATTGTTAAAAGTTTTTCAAATTCCTATGACACATCGGTAAACAAATCAACCAACATTGAATCCGCCGGACGTCCTAATAATCATTTCGTCGCTGATGTATGACGGTGAGCCGAAGACCTTCAGAAACATGACGTGCTGTACCTATGTCGTGGCGTGTGATCTGGTTTTCAGTCCATGGACATCAGCACTGATTTTGACCAGAAGGAGGCCATGTTCCGAAACTTTGGCCGCGTCATGGGCGTCTTCGCCACGCCGGTCATCATGCACAGGTGAGATCAGTCTCAGACGCTCAGAGGCTGTGGAGTAATTCATACGTTTGCGAAATTGGTCACCGAAGCTGTAATAAAAACTCGCGGCTTGAGGCTAAAATGTGTTTTTGCTGTAAGAGAGGTCTTAATCTGGAGTGTCATGTTTTCCGTATTTTGTGACCAAACCGTGAAAGGCAGTTGCCGGACGCGAAAAGTAGGATGCCGTGACCCGGATTCGAACCGGGGTTATCGCGGCCACAACGCGAGGTCCTAACCACTAGACTATCACGGCTTGTGCGGAGGAGGCGAATTGTACAATCACAATGAAGGTAAAGCTGTATTGATATTAGTATGTATTGATTCCAATGCCAAACACTTTGACTTCAATTAATCTGCAATTTATAATTGGCGCTTTCCCTAGATTTGGTACTCGTCTTTATTTTCGTATGATAAAGCCGCTGCGCCACACCGAGCAGCTCATAGCAGTTTTACGACGAATGCGACTGTAGTAGGTAGGTAGGTACACACGATACTTCATACTGGTTTGATTAAAATAATACTGTTTGTGGATTATTCCCCCAATTATGACCGAATTAATTACGACCTTCCCCCAATTACGACCGAAGTTGATCTCACGGCCGTGATAGTCTTAGGACTCCGCTTTGCGGCCACGATAACCCCTCTCTGAATCCGGATCATGGCAGCGCAACTTTTCGTACTTCGCATTCTCGTCTGTTTTTGATCAATTTCCATCGTTTTTACACGGCAATCGCCCTCCCCAGCTCATTTCGTTCTCTTGAAAACGATTTTTATTCCCACTTCCTTAGCAGACGAGAAGGCAATGCGCGACTGGTGCGACATCTATACCCGTCTTTTGCCGTGGTGTCTTCTTTGGGGACAAAAATACGTAGTCGTAGAGGGCCTTGCCGGCGGGGCCTTGAGGGCGATGCGAAGTTGCAACATTCATTTTTAGAGGTTTACCTACGTATGACGTCGTATGTGTATGGTCTGGCTTTATCTTAAAATGCGGTTTCCTGTTAACATCATAAAATATGACTTGAGACAAGGGTCAACAAGAATGCCAACTTCCAGCTCTCTATAACCAGCGCACTCCAAGCGATCGCGAAAACCGGTCTGGGAGTGAGCCTCGTGGGTTGTGTGCCCTGGAGGGCCGGAGGCCATGAAGAATAACCCCCTCCCCCCGCCCCCGGCAGCTGGAGCGGCGGTCGGGCGCAGAACGTCACTGTGGCCTTCCAGGACCCGGCCGGTCAGGTGGCTCGCGCAGAGAGCTTCTCCCTCAACACAACAGAGGAGTCGCGCTCGGGAGTGACACGGCTGGCCGTGCGCCAACCGCTGCGGCCCGGCACGTGGCGCGTGCACGTGCTGGCCGACCACGTGCCCGTGGCACGTGCCGAGTTCCCCGTGTTGCCCCTGGAGGTGTTCAAGGCGCGGCCGGTGAACCGCGACCAGGCAAAGTAAGTGAGACGGGAGGAGGGAAGGGGGGAACGGGGGAACGTTGGAGGGAAGTGAGAGGGGTGGTATCAGATGTGAAAGAAGGAAGGAAGATGGGAAAATGATTGCCCCACACGGGCCCGTTGCAAAAATACTGTAACTTAAACACCCCCCCCCCCCACACACTAGTTACACATGGGTCCCTCGCTGTCGTTCTAGAGAAGACCGATAACACCCCTCCCCTCCCCGCCACAGACTGTTACTAGCGGGCCCCTCACAACCCTACTGTAACACTTCTCCTCCCCACATACTCCTACACTCGGACCCGGCCTCACAGCCCTACTGAAGTAGGCTGATAACACCGCCCCTCACAGCCCTACTGGAGTAGACCGATAACACCCCTTGCCTCCCCACAGAGTGCTACACTCGGGCCCGTCTCAGGCCTACTCGGAGCAGCGCGTGGTGACGGCCCTGCAGCGGATTCTGGGCGGCGCCGATCAGCCGGCGGAGCTGGCAGCCGCCACGGCCGCCGCCGAGAGGCACGGGGAACAGCTCACCGAGTGGACCGACAGCATAGTCAGACGGTGAGAAAGGGGAGAGAGGGGAAGGGGATGACTGGATGGGCTGGCCTGGGTGGACAAACAGACGGGGTTAGACTGATGACAGGCTTAACATACATGCAGGATAGTGAGACGGTGAGATACAGATATCAATAGACATAGAGGAGAGGAGATGATAGATAGCAGAGGAGAGACAGGGTATGGGGAATGTAGGAAGGATGTAAGTGAGAGTAACATTTGTGTGTAGGAGGTAAAGATAATGGGATAGGTATAAATTTGGAGGAGAAGATGGTCAATTTTAGACATGGGCGCACCTTTCGAACGGTGCTTGAGACAGTAATGCATATTGCATAAATGGAGCAAAATATCTGGTTGCGGTGATACATATTTAAACACTTGAATTTCGTATTATTGTGATGGATGTTTGCTATGATTTTCATCGTTTATGGATTGTGGACCGTAATTATCGTGTCGTCTTTACCCTCAGCATCGTATTCTGTCCCTCTCCCACTTTATTTATATTTCTCCATCCTATAATTCTTCCTCTCTCCCTCCATTACTTCCTTCTCCGGTCCCCCAAGCATCCCACCCGTTTATTTAGTTCTGATCAGTCTTTTCTGCTCCCCCTCAGGCACTTCTCCCTGGAGTCGCTATGTCTGGCGTCCGCTCCGCCTCCGTCCTCCGGCTGCCTGGCCCCCCTGCCGAGGTCATGTCGTGACACCGACTGGTCGTCGCTGACCCCTGACCCCAAGGCCGAGCTGCACGGTATAGAGCCGGGCGGTCGACTGCGGAGAGTTCCAGAGGAGCCGAGCAGCCAGACACACCAGCACACGGGACTCTGATATGATGAGAGGGAGGGGACGCGGGGGTATAGGGGTGACGGATAACGAGGGTGTAACACCAATGTTCTGACGGTCCGGTGTTAGTCTGGGCATGAGTCTCTGCTGGGCTAGGATCTGGTTCGGTATTTGGGTCAGGACCGGCTGTCTTTTGATCCATGACTGGCGTCTGTCGTTTGTCCAGGGTTTGGGAAAGTTCCGGGACTGGGTCGATTGGAACGTTACCCTTCTTGCCCTTCTTAGATGGAGACATGAGGCGAAGCATTTGACAGCAGGATGGGTTGTTACTTGAAGTGTCGTGCTCGAATGACCACGAAAAGGTGCAAGTAATCAGTAGGTATCACAAATTCCCTATGTGACTCCAAGTATGTGCAGATATATACCTCTGTATTCCCGGCTACACCCCCGTATACAGAGCGCTCTATTGCACAGACATGAGCAATAATGTTCTATTTGGATGGCGGCCGTGAGGCCTGACCTGACCTGACCTTAACGCGTCCGGGCGCTGTGCTCACACATATCCACACCCGTGTAGTCTCATAGGACCCCCTCTCGGCCCCAGTCCGTCCTTACCCCTCCCCTCCTTACACCCTTACCCCTATGGCATACTCAAGGTCAGTTATATACGGGCGCTTCGGAAATCGTAGGAGGATATTCGATTTTCGATGAGAGATGAGTGGATGAACTGAGATTTTACTCTTTTTCCTTGACGCGTTGGTTTAGGTTGTGACCCCCTGAGATCAAGTAGTTTTTTTTTCCTGCGTCGTTTTTTATCTACCTGGTGATCACACGTTGGATTCTGGTGATGTTGCATGGATTTTATCATTTGCTTATTTGTCTTACAAAAGTGGACAATATTTCAAATGCAGGTGTCACAAAAGCAAACATGCTTGACCGGTGTCACAAATGTGGACGATATTTTATGGCAGGGTGACGATGTATTCGTATATTGTGTTTGTGCTTGTGCTGTATATTTTTCCTTTGAAAGCTTATGACGATATGCTACATTTTCAGCGGGCATTTCTGTCCTGACGAAACACTTCTGATCTGAACAGAGGTAGTTTTACAGTTTTATTTTTGACGCGACTCTCATAATCTATGTGGCGTGTCTCTTTATATGTTTTTACTTGACGACGTCATGACCGAAAGCCTCTTTAGGTTGGCTCGAATGATGCTACTACTAACTAGCTTGCCCCTTTTTCGCTGATGGTCCCTCGTTACTCCCTACCCTTTCACTGGTCCGTTGTTCATACTGTTGTACATACATATCGCGCAGTTGACCCCCACTGTTGTCGCCCAAGTACTCATATTTACACCACTGAGGGCCGACGCTTTGTCCGTCTCTATTAGCCTCGAGCGAGGGTACTTTGTCCAGCCCTATCGGTGTTCGAACGCACCGCGGGGAACTCGCTCTGTTGTTAACTCACTTGTTATCAGTTTATCACGAATGGCGCGTGCGTGCGAATGTTTAGTGCTTCGACTTGTGATGAGGTTGTTGGAGAGAAAGATGGTCGCTAAAGATTCTGATATTCCGTATCGCGTCTTACTGTGGTGGTATTGAGGGCAGGACACCATCGTTAGGTGTAACTTGGACACCGTATTTAGGTGTAACTGGGAAAGGTCGGCGATCAGTGGACTCGAGACTGATTATGCGTTGGTTGTGCATGGTTCGTACCCCTTCTCCCCGGCCAGGACATGCTACACCGTCCAGACGTTGTATGTCCCCCTTTATGGCGAGGTCACAGGCTCAGAATGTTGTATATTTACATAATGTGCATTCGGTGAAATTATTTACGTGCAGATTTCTGACTATGTTGTCCATTTAGCGACTTGTATTTTAAGTATAAGGTTTTATTGGCTGAGCCGTCTAAGATTCTTTACATCGCTTTCCGGCTGTAAACTAGCAGATAGTCCACATTCCGGCAAACGCATCGCTCATCATCCGACTTTGATAATTACTGACCTTACCCGTGGATCTTTTGTTTCCATTCCATTCCGTTCTATCAGCGGTCCCGTCTCTCGTCCTAATTTTCCACCATCACGAAGAATTGTCGACGGACTCCCTCCCCCTTCCCCTCCTGCCGGCGGGCCTGCCTTCTAGGGCGGATGAGTGCCTTCTTCTTGTGATGTCAGTTAGCCCGGCTCTCCAACGCAGGACCCGGCTATAAATGGAGCATGAGTGGAATATTTAGTAGACAAATGCTCCACACATCTTCAGAGTCCACCCTAACGTATTATGAATAATTAATATCAAGATCATCGTGAGCAAAGTCCAGGGCTTTCCCTATAGGAGACTTTCTTCTGTAGTCTCACCTAGTGTTTGTTATACAAAGCCAGAGCCATGGGGTGATACCAATGGCAAATCGAAACTGCTGTGGTCCTGTATAGGTTTATCGCCGAACGTGTGAAAAGTATCCCGATGTTTGCGTGCGTCGCTCGCCCTGTTATCCGGTATACATGTCATCGTTTTCTACCAGCAATAAATGCGCCGTTTTTGCTAAATGTCTGTGTGAGTCTAGCATAGAAGGAGAATTCGAGCGAACTGCTGGTGGAAAGTAAACGACGGTTGCGACGTGGCTCAAACAAAATGAACCGAACACTATGTGCACGATCTTAATTTTCGTTACAAGCCCAAGACGCGACAGTGCGCAACACCAAAATTATGTACAAACTCATTCAGCAACACGCTATATTGTCGGTACAATCACGTTGACAAGTTACGAAGCCATTATAACTCAAAATATACAAAAATACACATGCTCCACAGCTGTCTAAGATTGCACGTACGATAAACCATGCAGACACAAGCCAGTTTGTAAATGAGATAAACCCAGGTAGTATCAAAATAGTTATCTTACACTCACTCCTCCGATAAAACGTTTATCAAGTCACAACACGAGGTAAACACTTCATTTTCTACGGATGAATTATAGTTTTCGGTCATGTCATGGCAACTACAGTGTTATAAGGATGTGTTTTACGCACACATGATACAACCCAAGTTTATCAGTGATAACTAAATCGATGGTAGCACTGCTACCCTAGCAGTTATAGGCGGTTACATTATCATTCCGTTAGAATGCGAACTTAACGCTATACACAAAACGACGGCGATTATTTGTAACGTAATTACCTAAACACTGTTAATGAGCCAGGCGGTTTACAATTAGAAGTGGCCTACGTTTGTGATTATGGCTGCACACAACATGATACTTTCTCTCACACCATACTTTAGTTTGTGTTAGAAAAGGCTTACAGGCAGTATCAAAATACAAGGGAGCTGATGTAAGCTCAATGGCCAACTGGAAATAGTTAGTTGCTAAAGGCATAATTCTAGCGTAGAACAAGAGTAGAAAACGTTCCCTGACACAGCATTGACTGGAAAGGTAATGGCAGGGCCAGGAAGATATGCATGTTTCCCACACGATTCAGCTTATACTCATTTCAGTACATTCACATAAAGTACATTTCACAGTGATCCTTCACATTTAGGTCCCATTTATACTGTTTAGTGCTCATCACAACGAACCCACGTCATGTTTATCGTCTTAATACTAACTTGTTTGCGAGTGTAAAAATAAACAACTACGATTATCGCCATGCCCGGTCGAAAACATAGTTATGTACTTAACTCAAACACATACAACTTCTGTTAGGTCCTGCTCGGTTAGCAATTAGTTTACAAAATGTCCATAAAATTTACCCAGCCGTGTAACATCTCACAGGATGAAAGCCTCTCGGACTGAGGGAAGATCTCGAAATAAAACATAAATGGCACCGCTATCACACTTTGAAATGATTCTTATAACTACACATGCTAGGCGCCGGCCAATGATAACCGATGATTATCATCGTTCCCCAGGATAAACTACTTCACCATATGCACTATCTCTATAAAGATCATCTGTTAAAAATATTGTCAGTTCTCGACAAGACAGTCGAGACATCGAGCACAAATAATCGGGCCTACAGCCCGGCCAGAATGGCCCGCTCACATCAGTTGCCGCACCTTATACAGTAAGTCACATGTGTGTAATACGCTAGGCATGGCATTGACAGCAGCACTAGCTTGTCTCAAGCCCTTTACCTCCAGTTACTAAATAGTATGTCCCATGAACACTTCGACCAACAATGGAACTTGGAAGCTTTCTGTTCCCCAACTCGCATCTCCCTTCCAATATTTTCCCTACTACCGTAACTTATAGATATTCTCATATGACGTTAAAACATCGAAGCAGCACTTGCCATGACCAGCATACCGGTCATACACGCCAATAATGATTCAGCACAGCCACTTCAAATTTTTCGCCGTACGTCGTTCTACTACCCTCTTCGTTCTTGCTAACCTGTACACAACCCTTCCTTTCCCTCCCCTCCTATTCTTCATATTTTACCGAACATTTCCCATGTTCCCTTCTAAACGTTTTACTTTCCTTAACTTTCTAACCTCAATTCTTCTTTTATTCCTCCATCAATCATTCCCCTCACTCACTTCATCCTCTCTACCCGCTTCCCTTCCTTCCTTCTTATCTCTCCCCACTTTCCCATCATCTCCCCTCTTTCTCCCTTTTCCCCCCCTCCCCCTCCCTACCAGGGCAGTTTCCTAACCACCAGTGGCAGCTCACCGGTCCTCCTGTACACGGTCACATCATAGGCAAACTTGAGCATCAGCACAATCACTGCCGTAGCCAGCAGACCGATGGCCACGTCCCACCAACTGATCTGCGGGCCCCCGCATAGTTTTCGTCGGGAGAGAGTGAGTAGCGGCGGCCCGGCGGGAGGACCCGTGGAGAGAGCGCCGGCGCCGCAGCGGATCTCGGCCCGGTCGCGGATCAGCTTGTGCTGAGAGGCCAGCCACGTCTATGGGCGGGGAGGGGGAGGGGGAAGTTAGTGAGTTTATAGGAAGAGTTTGTTTACTGATATAGGCGCGACGATAGCTTAGGTCATAAGCGCCCATAAGAGAGAGAGAGAGAGAGAGAGAGAGAGAGAGAGAGAGAGAGAGAGAGAGAGAGAGAGAGAGAGAGAGAGAGAGAGAGAGAGAGAGAGAGAGAGAGAGAGAGAGAGAGAGAGAGAGAGAGAGAGAGAGAGAGAGAGAGAGAGAGAGAGAGAGAGAGAGAGAGAGAGAGAGAGAGAGAGAGAGAGAGAGAGAGAGAGAGAGAGAGAGAGAGAGAGAGAGAGAGAGAGAGAGAGAGAGAGAGAGAGAGAGAGAGAGAGAGAGAGAGAGAGAGAGAGAGAGAGAGAGAGAGAGAGAGAGAGAGAGAGAGAGAGAGAGAGAGAGAGAGAGAGAGAGAGAGAGAGAGAGAGAGAGAGAGAGAGAGAGAGAGAGAGAGAGAGAGAGAGAGAGAGAGAGAGAGAGAGAGAGAGAGAGAGAGAGAGAGAGAGAGAGAGAGAGAGAGAGAGAGAGAGAGAGAGAGAGAGAGAGAGAGAGAGAGAGAGAGAGAGAGGAGAGAGAGAGAAGAAGAGGAGAAAGAGAGAGAGAGAGAAGAGAGAGAGAGAAGAGGAGGAGAGAGAAGGAGAGAGGAGAGAGAGAGAGAGAGAAGAGAGAGAGAGAGGAGAGGGAGAGAGAGAGAGAGAGAGAGAGAGAGAGAGAGAGAGGAGAGAGAGAAGAGAGGAGATAGAGAGAGAGCGAGGGAGGAGATAGAGAGAGAGAGAGAGAGAGAGAGAGAGAGAGAGGAGAGAGAGAGAGGATAGAGAGAGAGAGAGGAAGGAGAGAGAGAGAGAGAGAGAGAGAGAGAGAGAGAGAGAGGAGAGAGAGAGAGAGAGAGAGAGAGGAGAGAGAGAGGAGATAGAGGAGAGAGAGAGAGTAGAAGGAGAGAGAGGAGAGAGAGAAGAGAGAGAGGAGAGAGAGAGAGAGAGAGAGGAGAGAGAGAGAGAGAGAGAGAGAGGAGAGAAGGAGAGAGAGAGAGATCCCTTTTAGCAGACTCTAGGTCCATAAAGAATCATGAGAGGTCATAAGACCCTCAACTTAAATACAGACATTGCCGCCATGCCTTCCTTATCGAGGAAGTCACAGCCAGGTCACTGTTGAACAATGTAAATATGATTTGATTAGAGGAACACTGAAGGCGCGTCATAAAGTTCCACACTGATTTTCGGCGCAAGGCATCAAAGCCGGGCAAGCATTCTTGAACGAACATGTTCGAAGCACTGCAGAACCTGTCGTAGCCAAATAACATCCTAGCAGCATTGTTAAAACACACTTTAAATTTCTTCAGAACAGACACATGAAACGAGTGCCACAAATGCATGCAACTGACATTTGAACAATAGGCATCATACAAATATTTCTTAACCGAGTATGAACATATGGCAAATTTGCGACTGATCGTATTAGCACGGCAACAAAGATTACGATATTGCTGTCGGATTTCTAAGTCATCGACTCTAGAGCCCACATTGCTGAGTTGATACCCAAGATACTTGTAAGAGTCAACGAATTTCAAAGCACAGCCACCAAGCGAGATAGTAGGAACATAGAGATCACGAAATAGCTTAGGACATATTTTCATGCAAACAGTCTTTCTAGTGTTGAATTTGATATCATGCTCAATTGCATAGGAGTCACAGACATTCAACATTTTCTGCAGTCCATATGATGAAGGGGATAGCAGGACCATGTCATCAGCATAATATAAATGATTTACACTACCTTGAAAATGACACCCAACACCACTCCGATCAAGAAGCGTCGATAGACCATCAGTGTACGCATTAAACAGATATGGAGATAATATCCCACCTTGCCTTACCCCGTTTGTCACCGTAAACCCTTCGGATAACAAGCCACCCCATAAAACATAAAATTGTTGAGTCTCGTACCACGAAGAAAGAAACTTCACAAGACTCACATCAATTTTCCTCTCTAGAAGTATAGAAAATAACTTCCAGTGGTTGACTCGGTCAAAAGCCTTCCGTGCATCGAGAAAGCATACAAATACCGGACTTCTATTTCGCAGATAATAGTCACATATGCCGGGTTCACACCGGATTCCGGGCCGGCAAAATTCCGTCTGCCGGGCCGGAAAAATGGCCAATTCCGTGCCGGAAAATTGAAAACTGGTGTGAACCGGCAAATCTGGCAACTTCTTTTGACCGGTCCGGCAGGCCGGAGAGCCAGATTTTCCGGTCCGGCAAGAAGTTGAAATCATCTCAACTTTTGCCTTGCCGGATAGCCACCGTTTGTGATATGAAATTAAGGCACGATGGAAATAATGTTATGTTTCAGCGCTACAGGCCTAATTTAACCAACGGTGCCCTAATAGTCTCGCGATTTTTCACGAGAATATAAAATTCAAGCGTAAATTTGACGGCGTTTCATTTTTATTTCAAAACCAAGTTTCAAAACATTTGCATCTCAAACGGAGTGATAGCTACACTTCTGTTTTTGTATTTCACATGACTCATGTCCTATTCAAATTATAAATTAATTTCATCGGTTGGAAAATATCCATGACTTCATAATAAAAAATTATAAGGAAGCGGTAAAAAGGGCAAATTTTTGGAACAACATTGCGGACGCGCTGGTTGTAGAAGGAGCGGTGGCAGTATCTGCAGAAGAGATTAGCAAGCGCTGGAGCCGGCCGCAGGACAGGTAGCACAATGTACAGGTCTCGCGGGTTTAAGCGGTAGGTTTTGCACCTAGAAAATTTAGCGTACCTACTTCAGGCTATATCTTCGTCGTCTTAAGCTTTTAAGTGTTGAAGATGCGAGCGACTTGTTGAGTAACAAGCCGGCCATGATCGTGTAAAATGACTTCATTGTAGATCGATTAGCTTCCGAGATATAACCGGAAATGTAAAAGTGCAAAACCTACCGCTTAATCTCGCGAGACCTGTACGTATTGCTTATTGCTTAACTTTCGTCGTCTACGAAGTGGAGCCAGCCGAGCAGATTCTGAAATCTACATTCTACAAGACGCGCTGACAACACTTCTCTGCCCTCGATGCCCTCCTACACAAGCACATGGCAGCTCGGGAGGGTGGAGGCAGTTTTGCCATTCAATCGCAAGTAGAAGCTTCAGGAAATGCGATGGTACTGAATGCCAAGGATATTATCCCGCGCCCTGCTGGGGGTGGGGGTGGGGGTGGGGGTTACTTGAAGTGAACCCTCCCTGTGGTTTTTCGCTAATATCTCAAAAACGGCGGCTGATCATGCATCTTTTCTGCACATGTTGTAAAAATTGTAGACCAAGGTCACTTAAGGTCAGGTCACCAGGTCAATTCAAGTGACCTCACCTCATACAAAGTTTCAACGTCTTCCATAGCTACATCGAGCTACCGACCTCGTTGAAACTCTCAGCGATTGATAAGGGCAACAATATGTACACAATTTAAATAAATAACTATCTCGGAATTTTGATATCGGTGACCTAAGATCAGGTCAATTTTGTGACCTCCCCATTATAAGTCAATGGGAGAAAATCGATGCCAAGTTATGCGTTGGCTTGTTGTAAATCGTCGACATTCGACCTGAAAATCGGTGAAATTCGGCTTTCCATGACCTCTGGTGACCTGAGCTTTGATTTGACCAAAAAAGTGACCGAATTAATTTCGTCATTATTTTTAACACTCTTTCGAACGCCGCCTTCCCCGTATCGCTACGTGGTCCAAGAGCCGAGTTAGAAGGGGGGGGTGTTAAACACCCCCCAGCAAGGCGTGGAAATTTAGGACCCCCAGCGGGGCGCGGGTTATGGCGGTAGAGTCAGCGACAGTCAGATGACCGATTTTGAGACCCAGCCATCTATATCAGCAAGCGTAATATCAAGCTCGCCGTCTCTAATGCGCCTTGCCCAGCACTCAATTCCTCTTTGTTCACAAGTGTTTTTAAACCAACAACAGCCAAAGCGCGATTGAAATAAATCAGTGTCTTTTAGTCGATACATAGCCCGCATGCTGTAAATGTTAAATTGTATTAATGTTGCTAATATACCTACCAGTGAAGGATGGATGATTTTCGGTTGGATGGAACTGCATCAGGGACTTGTAAAGCCGTCACACAAGTAGGTATGTTCGATTTCAAAATAATTCGCGAGATTGCTTGGTACCTACTTATCGTACTTAGAATGACATTTCCGGCTCGACTTTCCGGTTTTCCGGTTCTAGCGACTTTTTTGACATCTAGCGACAATTTCAACATTTTGGTGCCGGCCCGGCAGACGGAATTTTTCCGGACCGGAAAACCGGTGTGAACCCGGCTTTATTTCTTTAAGGGCATATATAGCCATGTCGGTTGAATGTTCCTTTTTGAAGCCAAACTGATGGTGTCCAGTCGCAAGTTGTCTATCACAGCGTTTCAGAATGACCCTTTCAAGAATCTTGGAACTTACACTGGCTACAGCTATTGGGCGATAATTGTCCTTATCTGACAGCTTTGCCGACTTATCCTTTACGATGGGTGTAAGTACAACTTTTGAGAATGTTTGTGGAACATATTCATGCTTTACCATCATGGAAAAACACAAAGATAAATGCACTGCGCTGGAGACACCGGAAAATTTAAAGTGCTCAGCACTGAGCCCATCATTACCACTAGAGCGACCACAAGATAATTCCCGGATTGACTCGATTATTTCAGGGACAGAAATACACACAAACTGATGGTTTCTCTCACGAAACTCCTGAAGAACAAATTCTTTACGATCAACGCTGCTCACGCTATTCAGTATCTCAGAAAAGTGATCTCGCCACATTGAAGCAATATTGTCACACCCCGAAATGCCATTAATCGAATGAGCAAGAGGGGCACTACCATTAAGTTTCCGCACCTCTTTCCAAAATGCTGCTAAACTATAAGGATTACGTGTGAGCTTGTCTGCTAGGGACTTCGCTCTCAATTCTTTTTCATGCCGAAGGCAAAACCGT